CGATCTACAAGATCAAAATCCGATATCATTTGCTTGAATTAGAGCTATATTTCGGAAAATAAGAACTGCCAATTTTTTATGTCCATTGATTATCTTGCCAAATAAGAAATGAAAACTAGAAATTAGTACCTGAGAGAGAATGATGGGGCCACCTTGGGACTCGAACAATTTTTCACTTTTCATCATCCCCACAATTTTTTCTGTAAATCCCTGCATTGCTCTCTGCAACACCAAGAGTGATTTAGCGTCATAAAATCTGGCCAAAACTAACAAAACGCCCCTCCTATGGCAGTTTAAAGTACTGCCTTTTCTACTTTGCTTTTTAGCATATAGATTGAAGGGACGTGCATATGAAAATACCTTGAAAGGTTCATTATCTGTTCTGAAGCTAATTCCTGGGACATACTTCAGCCAAACAGGAAACCCTCTGCAGGAAACGTTAAAGATCAAACAAAGGAAGCTTCTCGTTTAGCCCTGAAGGCTGAAACCACTGTGGGAGGGAGATCATAAGCAAGAGGAAAGTACCCAAAGTTCCACTCTGCACAAACATAAGGTCCAATACGTAGATTTGCATAGAGTCCAGCTTTCTGAATGGTTTTTATGAACCTCACCAGATCATATCTCCCTTCAAAATTGTACTGAAATTCGCATAAAGCATAGAGGACAGGCAAAATGAGAAGGAAGAATAAAGAATTCTTCATAGAAGTTCATGCAAAAGCAGACATGAGAGGCAAAAACAAACTGAGAAATGCAGAGGGATGAAGTTAAGATAGAGCAGTTACAGTACATTGCCAGGGGAAGGCTCATGGACATTCCAAAATACATAGGTTTCAACCACATCAAGACCACCATCTTTTGCCTTCTGTATCAGATCTTCCCACATCTACAACACATTCCATTTCTCCAAAAATCAGAAACAAAACTTCAAGCATTCCCACCATAAACATAGAAGGGAAGAGAAATGTGTACCTCAGGAGTGCTTCTGGGGTAATGTATAGAGCCAGAGAAGAGAACTCTCCTCTGCCCATTAATCAAAATGGCCTTTCTATCATATGTCACACTACATTGAACAAGCTGAACACCCAGAACAAAGAAAAGCCCCAAAACCAACATTGAAAGCTTGGAAACCGAGTTAGTTGCCATTCTGAGCAGAAAAAAAAGGACCCAAACTTCCTTAGTGACGAAGAGAAAGTTGAATGCAGATCTCTAAAACCCACCGAGAGGAAGAGGGGCTTCTATTTCTTGTCTACTCCAAGCCTCTGCTACCACAAAACAACCAAAGCAGCAGAGAGCTCATTCCCAGTTTGGACACGGCACACAGATCCGAGCCACCGAGGACTGCAAATTAATGAACCCATATGCCTGGCTTTATATACAGCCTCCACTCACCGACAGTCACAAGTGTCTGAAAGCCACCACCACTGTTCACTAGCGGCTGTAAATGCGAGCTACCAATACACAAAAAGTGAAAGATGCCGTACCTCTAGTGACCTACCAAACCGGGACTATGAAAATAAACAGTAAAAAATTAACGCCCTTTTATCGAGTGATTAGTTTAATATGCTGTTGTTAAGCATGTGTTTTAGTAGAATTTAGTAAAGTGCCACAGCTTGCAACTTTTTCTTTTTGATGAGGTGTCTAATTTGTCTTACCATTTATGTACCACACCTCTGATAAACAAATGCTTTAAATACTTTATTGAAGTTTTTACACTTAATTTCATTAGAACAGAGGCAGGATTTTTGACTGAAGAATGGGATTGTGTTGAAGGGCATTTGTGGAGTGGGAGGGAGAGGGAGTGGTCCATTTTCGTAAAGAAACGGAAAGATAAACGACATGTCTTGATGTCCCCATATGCCACTTTTGTCTGGGTCTCTGTGAAGGGCATGTCCCACTATACCAAACACCATGTGAACCCCCAAACCTTTTCTGGGTTTCACAATGGGTCATGTGAAAATCCAAAGGAACCAACATCCTCTTTAATTCCTTCAACAATTTTACTCACCAAATTTGTTTCAATTTCATTCTCAACCACCAAAGTTTCAATCTTTATATTTACATACCCTTCCTATTATTTTTCATCTATGAATGTTTACCTTTGATATATAGTTAAAGTGATTATGCATTATACGAGGGGAAGATTGAACCTTTCCATCTCTGAAAAAATTATTGGTATCTTATCCATGGATTTATGCTCGAAGAATAGACATTAGTGTTTTGTTTATCAAGAATATATCATTTATCTCTCACTTGGAAGATAAAATACAAGGCATGTGACTAGGAATGAGATTTTTATCGGACATCTTCCATGGTACAAAATCAAATGGAAATATGGGGGATAAATTATTTGCCTTCCATGGCCACATCAATAGTTCTGTTTTCTTGTTGACCAATTTGACACTGTCTCCAAGCTTGTATTCTGTCCCACTCCATCTTCCTCGGTAGATCTGTAAACTGTGTCAGAAAACCAGCTGGCATTGAATCTACAAACAGTGTGTTTATGATCTTGCTGTTCTTCTTGTTACACACATGTTGCCCCCTTTGATCCCGTGGAATTTTTTTCCAATTTATTTCTTATGCGATCTTCCTGTGCTACCTGTCCACTCCCAAGCCTTCCATTCTCGAATCTTTCTGCGTCTGAACTTTTCCTGGACCCAATTTTTGTATTTGAATATTAAAAAGATTGATCCTTTTTTTCTTTTTTAATGGGAAAAGGAATGGCAGGTTTAGTTTGGATTAAATTAAACGATGGGTGTTGAGGGATATTAGTGACCCATGTGTCGTGGTGGTGGAGTTGGCAAAAAGAAAGAACCAGAAACTAGAAAACAGAGCCATTAAATTCCATTATCTTTGTTCCTTTGGTTATTTAATTTTGTTTTTTCAGCTGCCTTCAATGGCGGAAGAAGGAGATGGGAAACCCTAAGACACCGCCGCTTTATGGCCCCACGCCGCCTAATTGGAGGGCAGCGGTCCGCCATATGTCCCCGCAGATATCGGCCTTAGTTATTCTCATTCACTACACACTAGTACATGAAATTCTCTTTTTTTTGGCTAATTAATTAATTGTGTTAACCGACAGTTTTAGGTATTTCCTACTTTTAATTATATTCCATGGACAAGACTACATGATTGTGCACATCCATAAAGTTGGAATTTAATTGAGTGACAATTGAACTAATTTTGATTTGTCTGATTTGTACACAGAGTACACGCTTGACGCTCCCAATTTTCTCTATAATATATCCTATTTTCTATTGATGGTGGGTTGGATTCATATCCTTTATTACAATTTTTTTTTTTATGGGGAAGGTGAACCTGCTGAAATAGTGACAATCTAAAATGTTAGAGATGAAATCGGGCTTGCGATGTGGCTCGTTCGCTAAGAAATATGTGTTTGGACCTTAGCTTAGACATACCTAAGACGAAAAATAATCGGTAAAATTGCTTGACTAATTAGAAGCTCAAACTCAAACACTCATCTAGGGACGTGAGTGCTATCAAAGCTCCCTATAAAAAGCAAGATTCATTCTCATACAGTCATGTAGGATGACACAACATTTCCTAAACTCGGTTCAACACTTCTTCAAACTAAAGTGTACATCTATTTCAAATTAAAAGTTGATTCGATCACCTTATATGAAATCCTACCTCAATGCTTCATTTCAAGTGGGGATGTGAAAGGTAATTTCTATAGCCTTGTTTTAGTTTATAAAATTTGGGGATTTTGGATTGCAATTTAAGATTTTATTTATGTAACCTGTACTTCGACAATAAATAAATTTTATAAAATTACATCCTATAATTTAGGTTCTAGGTTTTAGATCTGTCTTCAGTATGAGAGCTGAACTTAAAAAAATATATATAATTGTATTGTGATCGACAAATACAAACCGTTTTACTTTCCTCATGCCCACAACACCAGATTCATACTCATGTAGTACTAGAAATTTGATCGAAAGCCACCGTTAAGTATCCTATTCAAATCCGAGAGTTGTTCACTCTATTTAATTCTTCTTAGAGTAGTGAGTAGAGTCATGTTTGTTATCAATTAATAAACCAAGCATATCTTAAAAGGAAAATCAAGCGGTACAGAAAAACAATCATTAAGAAGCACATGATGGGGAGGGAGAGAGGAAATTAAGAAGCCCCAAAAATAAAAAAATAAAAATAAAAAGGCTTGATATGCAAGATTGACTCGAATCGAATATGCACTTTTTAGGAGTGGCGATGCGATTGATTTTGATTCTGGCGCGGCCACGCCCATTGCCCATTGCCCATTGCCCATTGCCCGTGGCCGTGGCGCGCGCTTTTGTTCTACTTCTCTTTGGCCCTTCACCGCCACGCCACCACCAATATTGGATTCTTCCTTTCCTTCTGCTCTTTCGCTCTTTTAAAGTATGTGTGTGGAATTATAGTTTACTTTTACACATTTATTACTTATATAAATCTTTTCACTTAGTTTAATTTGTTTGGTTTGGATGAGGCAATTATTCCCTCATTGCTGTTCTCTTTTTCCATTAAACAAATGCTTTTCGAATCCTATGTCTATCACCTCAAATTGTCTTCAAATGTTTTTGTTGAACCAACGGTGGCAAATTTTCTTTACGCAACATAGAAATCGGATCTTATTTTTCAATTATTGCTAATAAAGTTAACAATATTTTCTAATTTGAGTCGGGTTTTGAGCATTGAAGTTATTTGTTTCAATTTTTATTAAAGAAATAGTCTAAATTTGAGCCTCTACGCCTGGGTTTACATTCTTTTAACATTGAATTAATACTAGTGTAGTTTAATTTCAAAATTTACATTATACTACAATGACTTTGAATAATTACTTTCTAAAAGGAGAAGTAAAAAATTCAAAAAGATTTTACTGAATAAAGATAAAGCATACATTAAAGAGACAACTTTCTGTAAATTGTCTTTCGAGGGGGAGGAGTTTCTTTATTTTCAATGTACTTTTCAAAAATAATACGTATAAATAATTGATAAAAATAAAATATTTTAACTAAAATAAAGATAAAGGAAAATACTTGGCTCTATTAGTTGTCAGTGATGGTATTTTCCTAAATTAAATCATCTATCGGGAAAATAATTTATGTAAATTAGTCCTGAAATAGACAAATGGTATGAAATATCTTCTTTGAAGTATGATTTACCCTAAATCTAGACAGTATTTATTTATCTATAATAGGTTAAAAATTACCGTTGGTTCATGTAATTTCATTTCAAGTGAAGTAGTCAATGTAATCTTAAATTAGTAACAATTTAATTTATGAACTTTAATATGTAATAATCTAATCCCTATAGTTTAAAATTTATTACAATTTGTGAAAAACCTCGTAAAAATCAAGTGTAGATTTTTATTATATGATGATTTAATCTTTGTAATATTTTATAGATACATTTGGTGGTTCATCCATTTATCAATCTACATATATTAAAAATTTTATTAAATTTTGACATCATTTTTTAGGATAGAGACTAAATTGTTACAATTTTTAAATTACAAACGCCTAAATTGTTATAAACTAAAATTTTGGAACTAAATCAAAGTTTAAAGGATTAAAAGTGTTTTTAAACCTTATTATTTTTAATACAACAAATACGGATTATGAGAATTTGAATTTCAAACTTCAAGAAAATGAGTAGAAATGAGTAGGTGTTATTTAATGTATGCAAGGATAACATCTATTATTAGACCAATTATATATTTGAAAGATTTCCTTTACCCCTCTAAAAGATATGCTTAATTATTTTCTAAAAAGAAAAAAGAGAGATGTTTAATTGGCAATCCCATTAATTTTGAAAAACTTGAGCACCACTAATCAATTTTACCTTAAAAGTGAATGAAATTCTGATTTAGAGACAAAATTAGTTGGATAGTGCTTTAATTTAGTAGTTAATTTGTAGGCTATTTAACTGGACAACGCATATATAAGTTGATTAATGATTATGGGAAAAGTGGTGGCATTATAATGAAGTATGTAGGCCTCAAACGACAATTTGTAAAATCCCTTTAAAGATGGCTTAAGAACCAATTAATTAATACCAAAATAAACCTTAATTAAATATAATGTTGTAACAAACAAAACATATAACAATGTAATTTGGACCGCAGACACTATAATGTGGCATTTACATGTGAATGTATTACATTTGATTTGCTTGCAGAAAAATACAACCAATAATTACTCATGCAACTATTTATCATTTCTCTGCCATATTCCTTCATACAAAATTGTCTTAACTATCAAGTCTTTTGGACTGCACTCTTCAAATCATTGCTTTTTTTTAGAAAAAAAAAATGGTAAGTAAGGTGCTTATAATGGGTTTTTTAATCTTTAATACGTTAAAAAGAAGTGATTGATTAGATAACTACTGGATCCATTTATTCTAGTGTTGTTGATGCTAAGTGTCGTGGAGCGACATGTACTGAGCTTTAGCGAGCAGTGGGCGAGTGAGTTAGAAACGACAAACCTACAAAAACAGGTATATCACTTTAACGTTCAAGTTGGTTTTGAGTACGAACTGAGCAAATCATCTTTAGACAGATTTTTCATATCTGATTTAATAGAATGAGAGTGTATTTATAGGAAATAAGGGATAGTTACCCATCTCATAAAAGTGTCGGAGGTCGGTGACCAACTTCTCACTGTACCTTGTAATATCAGAGCTATCTTCTGATGACTCAGGAAGGAAAAGTGGTCATACCAATCTTTGGATTGTTGAGCTCAGCCCACGTGGCGTTGCGGCCTGCCTCCCAACAAGTGTTAATATTACTTTTTTTATGCCGTAAAGTCATTTTTATTAATGACAATATCTATTGAAATTAATAAATTAAAGTATATAAAAAAAGGGTATAATTTAATAATTTAATCGAAGAAGAGTAGGAGGAGAGGAACTTGGGCTTAGAAGTTAGAAGTGGCTCATGCTTTGAGCCCATTTACTACATTAGAATCCAGAAGTCGGTGCCGGAACTCAGGCCTGTTCTACGATTTTGGACACCCAAATTTTTGCTTCGAGCTCCCCTCTTCGCATCAACGGAACTTCGAAATTTTTTTGCAAATCTTTATGTTCTGATTCCGATTGTTATCAATTAGAGAAAACCCAAATGCTTAGTCCCCACAAAAATCTATGCAGGTTCGTCTATGGCCTGAACCACAACCATTCTTTTCACCGTACACGTTCAGCATCCTCTTACCAATACAACCAGAGAAACCATGGTGCGAACGAAAATGTTCGAACGAAAGACGGGAACGAAGAAGCCCAATTGTATTTCTACAAGAGTAGAGGCCAACACATTCTCACGAACCAGCGAATTCTGGACTCTATTGTTCGAAAATCTGCCATAAGGCCGAGCGACACAGTCTTGGAGATCGGACCCGGCACCGGCAATCTGACATTGAAGCTCCTAGAAGCTTCCCAAAAGGTCATAGCCATTGAAATCGACAAACGAATGGTCGAGATTCTTCACAGACGCGTGGTGGAACATAAATTTGAAGACCGCATTTGTGTAAGTTCAAATTGCAATCAATGTGTTCGATGAAATGCCTGACAGAGGATAAACTGCTGGAAGTGGGGTTTTGTAGGTCATATGCAAAGATGCTTTGAAGTGCGAGTTTCCTCGTTTCGACCTCGTCGTGGCCAACATCCCTTATGGCATATCTTCGCCGCTTGTGGCCAAGTTGGTATACGGGGCAATTCCATTTCGGAGCGCCACGCTTCTCCTTCAGAAAGAGTTTGCTCGGCGGCTTTTGGCGGATCCTGGTGACTCGGAGTACAACCGTTTGGCTGTGAATGTGAAGCTGGTGGCTGATGTGGAGTATGTCATGGATGTAAGCAAGAGGGAGTTTGTTCCTTGTCCGAAAGTCGACTCATCCGTGGTCATAATCCGCCCCAAGAAGGAAGTTCCAGAAGTGAACCTGGAAGAGTGGCGGTCTTTCACGAGAACTTGCTTTGGCAAGAAGAATAGAACACTTGGGGCAACCTTCAAGCAGAAGAGGAAGGTGATAGAGCTAATCCATTCATCAAAAGTGGCCTCAAATTCTGAGAATTCCATTGGTGGGAACAATGAAGAAAAGTCATCTTCTTCATCTTCGGAGAAGGGGTTTGATTCTTTCAAGGAGAGGATCATAGAAGTTCTAAAATCTGGAGATTTTGAAGATAAGAGGCCTGCAAAGTTGTGTAACAAGGAGTTGCTGCATTTGCTGGCGTTGTTTAATCGAGCTGGAATATATTTTCACGATGGAGCAGAGCTCCAGGATGCAGAAAGAAGATCCTTAGCTGATGCCTACTGTTCAGAATCAGAACAGTAATTTTCCTTCTTCCCCCTGACTGGGCGATAGCTTAATAATCTTTTATTCCGCTGCCAATTGACAAACTTTGTGTCCATTTAACCGATAGTCGTCTTCGGAAAGAGATTGAAAGATCATTTTCTTCGAGTCGAGCTATGTATCCAAGGATGAGTTTGCTAATCATATGAGTCAAGCATATATTTTTTCAGATTTGTTCGTACGGTAGATAAAACACCCGTTACCTTTTTTCAAGTAACTATCTGGAAGTCTAGTAGTCAATAAGAGTCCGAGGAATTGATTCAAAATCCATCTTGCTTTATAAAATGAGAATTATTATATATAAATAAAGATGATATTTTGATAGTACTATTGGTATGAATTATTTTTTTAAGGCAAAATTATACATTTTAAGTGTAAAGTAGACAACATCATATCATTATACAAATATACGAAGTCAATTTCTTGACGTGGTTGAAAGGGGATGAATTGATGATTATTTGAGAGAATGACTTCGGAAGTAAACCAAACTATGGTGATAAAATTGAACTGTCCTAGGTAATTGAAAAAAGAAGGCTATATTTACAATAATATTAACTTAAGGAAAGAAGAAAAGAATAAATTCGAAATTGCAATGCAAGTACTTTCGTTGCTTGATTTAAGAGTCTTGAACGATAGAAGTTGAACAAGGTCCAGCCCGTTACATAGTGGGCTTCTGATAGAGTGCGGCCCACAAGTCGACCGTGCAGTCCCAGAAAGGAACTACGGTGACCGCATCCTCACGGCGCATCCCTACCTCCTCAGTCTTTCTCAATCTCCTTCTTCCATTTCGATCGATTTGCAATCTCTGCGTAGCACAAATGGGGCTTGGAATGCTAAGATCCGTTGTCCGGCCGCTAACGAGGACCTTGAGATCACGTCCCTCCACTTCCCTAACTCCGTTTCCTGCCGCTTTCACCTCCCCGGAACCGCGGTTTCATCTCCTTTCTGGCGGCTCTGTTGGAACTCAAGCTCCTTGGTTTCCAATTGCGAATCACTTCCACAGCTTGACCGACACTCGGTTTCCAAAGAGACGGCCGAGTGATAAACCTCGCCGGAAAAGGGCAAGCCTCAGACCCCCTGGTTCGTTAACTTGAATTTCTTGAAAGTTTAGGGTATCGGTTTACAATGTGCCTTTTTTTTTACTGGAAATTCGATGCCAGGAATAAATGGTTTCAAATGCTTTTTGCTGAATGCAGGTCCATACGCCTGGGTTCAATATACTCCTGGTGAACCAATTCTTCCTAATCAACCGAACGAAGGAAGCGTGAAAAGAAGGAATGAGAAGAAACGCATTAGGCTGCGCCGGGCGTTTATTCTGGTTCGTATGTCATCTTATGATCGCAATTGAAGTTGTTTTCCATAATTTTGCCCTTTTTACTTGCTTTGTATCTCTACTTTAAAATTAATTTGTGCTGTCTAGTAACCATTGCTACGTCTTGAGGTATAAATGTCAACAGTATTATCAATTTGCCGAAGAGATGCTGAATGTTAAAAAATTAAAACTTTCTGGTCTATTGGTCGCTGGTTTATTATAATCTGTGTTAAACTGTCTTGTGAATTGTGGCATACTAGCCGAATGAATAGAAATCATGCTGCATTTTCTTGGTTATTTGTAGAAAGGGCTTGTAAGGCTGAAATTATGGAAGCCCTAAGTTTGTAACGGGATATAAGAATCTTATTATTTTGAGCTTCTAGTAACTTTCTGTTTTTCAGATTCTTCATAATTGTTAATGATTCTTATTGTCAATCTCATCTTATACACTCTCTAGTCTATACTTGGGTTCTGGAGTCAGTATTCTGCCTTTCGAATTTTAGATAGATATAGAAATTCCATAATATTTTGTTTGCCGATCTGGCATTCTTTTAGTGTACATGTCCTATCAAATTCATTCCTTTCCCATTCTTTTTCTAATGTACCAATTACAGGAGAATGTTAAATTCACTTAGTAATTGTCGGTTTTTGGATAACCACTGTTTGCCTCTCAGACATGAATGCTGATTACCCAATTCAAATAGAACAAACTTTGAGTATGCATCCGATAGCAATATCTCAACTAGCAAAGTAAGTCCTGTTCCAAAGTTGCCTTGATAGAAATATCCCACTAACTTTGCAATTTGTAGGCTGTTCAAATACACATTTGAGAAAATATTAATTCTCTGTGAATACATATTTAGGCACTATGATTTCCATAAGAATGAATAAACCACCACTCAACCCAAAAGCTTAAGCTGATGGGTTGGGTAAATTTAATTCATTTATATGGATTCTAACACTCCCCCTCACTTGTGGGCTTGGAAAACAACATCAAGACCCAACAAGTGGAAATTATAATAAATGGAGAGGAACAACAACGCAGGGGTTCGAACATAGGACTTCCCGCTCTGATACTATCTTAAGAATGAATAAACCACCACTCAACCCAAAAGCTTAAGCTGATGGGTTGGGTAAATTTAATTCATTTATATGGATTCTAACAGAAACATCCTGGCTTGAACCTTCTTCTGATTAACCTGAGGCTTCTGCATCATCAAGTTTTTTTTATGTCCATTTCCTTCTGTGATTTTATTATTGAAGACTGCCATGCTTGTAGAATGATGATTGCCAATGTTATTTTTGTGAGTAAAATGGTGATATCGTGACTTGGTTGCTTCCATACATCAGGATCAAGTGTTTTAATTTCAATTTAGATACGGTTTGATCCACAACAGTTTTAGATATCTTCAAACCGAAATGTATTCATTTGAATCGTTCTATTTCACTAGAATATGAAATATTGTTATCTTATATCTATGTTGACACTTGATGTTATGGATTCTAATGAGTGCAGTACTGAAAATTCAGACTTTTCATATTTTCACTCACAGAAGTTTTTACTTTACCCGCACTGCCATGCACATGTTTTATTCGTCAAACATGTGGCATGCAACCAAAAATTTCACGAGTTCCAAGTTGCAACTCTAATAATATTCCAAGAGAAACTATTTCTGATCTTTTCTGATGTTGAAATATTTGCAATTCGTGCTCATGCACTTGTCCAAATTATTTTGCTGGATTGGATACTTGCAGAGTCTGCAGTGTCGAGAGAGAGAGACTGATAGCTTCTTGAAATTTATCCACTTCTCTTCTAGGAGGATTCATTTATTTTCTATTACCTTTCTGGCTCTTTTAAACGTGCAGGCTGAAAAAAAGAAACGGAAAGCTCAGTTTCAAGAGGCAAAGAAGAAGAAAATTATCAAGAGGGTGGAACGCAAAATGGCTGCAGTAGCAAGGGAAAGAGCATGGGCTCAAAGGCTAGCCGAACTTCAACAGCTCGAAGAAGAGAGGAAAAAATCCATGGAATAGATTGTGTGGTTATGGCTTGTGTTTCCATGTAGACTGTGAAGAGTCTAACAGAGTCTCTCATTTCATACGTTATTTCCCAGTAGCTTATTTTTCTTTTGCTAAAATAAACGCGAACCAAAATTGTAGTAAAGCTTTAAGAGCTGAGCCGTTTTGCTAGTGTAATAGATATGGGCTTCAGTATTTAAGAGGAAACCATCTTTCATCTAATGGCAAAGGAGCTGGGTTCTTAATGTCATCTCTGATGCGGCTGCTCAGCAAACGGTGCTTGAAGGTGAAGGATGATCAGTCGGGTGCACATTAATATCTACAAATTAATCTGCACCGACACAGGGACTCAATTTTGGGGTATTGCCCGACGCCCAAAAAAGAGGGGACAGTAATATGGTGGATAGTTGAATCATGTGAACTGTGATTGTCATGGAAAGAGGACGTCCACCAGTGGGCTCTACCAACTTCATATCGTTGACCCACTTAGCCTTGTGATTGGAATGGCCTTTAACGCACCACCCACAACTCCCCCCCCTCCCTCTCTCTCTCTCTCTCTCTCTCTCTGTGTTCACTCAAATTTGTACTATTTGATTGACAGAATTGAAAGGAAATGATGTAAGAATCAATATCCATTATTATCTTCTTTGATTACTTCAGCGCATGTGATGCCTGATTTGATCGCCCGACGTGCTGTATCATAGGCTGATTTGATTGAAATTTGAACGCAAATTGGAACACGCATGTTTGGCAGAGGGAGAAAAAATGGGTTGCCAATTTGAAGGGTGACTCGAGTAGACTAGTACTCAGCAAGTTCCTCGCCACAAAATGTTAAAACTTTATACATGGCGTTGGGTACAATGAATGCAGTATTCAATGGACAAGGAAGGACCCCTTGAACTGTCAAAAAGATGGCGACGCACGAACAAGAATCATAATTCAGAATGGTAGAGAGAGCTCCATGTAAAGTAAAACTAGAATTCCTGTATCAGTACAGTTATGGCTTAAAAAAGAGGACCCCTCGTGGGTCTGTCTAGCTATATCTATCTCACAAGAAAAGAAAAGATTAAAAAAAAAGAACTTGGGTCATTTGATATATTCACATCTGTATGAAGATCTTTGCCTTATTTCCTCGACAGCTCGATATCGCAGTTGTTGAGATGATCGAATCTGGTTATGAGGTTATGGTTGTGATTGCGATTGGAAGCTTCCTTCTCATCTTCACTGTCGGAAAATGGATGATTTCATCCTTCTCAGCTCTCCATCTGCTCCATTTGCAGTACATAATGGTTTTTCCCCACAACTTGTAATTAGTTTCAATTACATATATATCAAGAAGATTCTCTTGATAGATTTTTTTCTTAAATAGGAAGATAAAGAGAAAGAGAGAGTACTTGTAGGTGGTGACAAGGCAATGAAGGAAGATCGAGATTTCGAGCCTCGCGAGTTCAATGCCGGGACATAGCCTCTGTCCCCCTCCAAAAGGTGTAAAGTTATGGTTGTTAGTTGCAGACCCAATTTCCTGTTTTTTTCCCCCCACAATTTTTGCAGCCATATCTCATTCAATCATTATGATCAGATCAAAAGGGAAGAAGAAGATACGAGTAAAATCAGAAACTTCTTTATCGTACCTCCCATCTCCATGGATTAAACTGATGTGGATTTGCATAATTTTCTTCATCCATATGAACAGATATAAAAGATGCCAAAACGCACCATCCTTGTGGTATTAAATATCCTGCAATGAAGAATATAAAATCAACCCAATTCTGCACAATATGAACCAACTGAAAAACATTCCCCTTGCATACCTTTGATTTCCACGTCTTTTTGAGCTTTCCTCCAAACCCCATTGATGATATTGGCCATTCTTAATGTTTCACTAATTACCTAAACCAAATCATTATTCAGAGTTAACAAAGTCATCACCAAAAAAAGGAAAGAGAAAAGAGGAAAAGAAATCGCCTTTTCAGTACTTTTATACGTCAGAATTGAAGCCTGTCTTACATTTTGAGTGAATTGCAGAGACATGAAATCTGTCCACGTATACTCCTCGCCAGAACTATCCTTCTGCTTCTTCAGTTCCTTATTCTCCTCCTAATGAAACAGTAATCACTCCACGTTTAATTAAAAAAGGGAAGAAAAACAAAATTGCATTTCTGCCAAAATCACTCTCAAAATAGTAATGTTTTATAATGATACGAGTGATTAAAAAAAATGACAATACTAAAATCACTCATAAACATGCCCTTGAGCTAAACATACGTTGCAGTCCCTAATGTTTTGTTTTTTCAACCAATTTGTTATTATTTAAAATTTTTCAACTTTTAGTCCATTACTTTTTAACATTCATTTTTCTATTATACACTTTGTGAATGTTAAAGATGGGATGATAATAAATTATGTAAGATAAGAATTTAGAGGAAAATTAAAACACCTAATTTAAAATTGAAAGAGAAACTAGAGGCCTAAGTTATTCTTTAAACTTTAGTCAAAACTCATCAACTTCCATCCCATGTAAACTTTTCATCAATAACATTCAACAATATAAAAGACAATTGAAAAATGTAAAAACATAAAAAACTAAAATTAAAACATTTTAAACAAAAGAATCGGAACCCATAAACTTTAAATCTCTCACACCCGACCCGACCCGGGTGAAGTAAAGAAAGAAGTGGGTCCGACTTAAATGATAATAACGCACATGAAGCTGAAAAATATTTGTGCACAAACTAATTCATAATCATAAGATGTTACTTTGCTTGTCATATTAAAATTTAAAAGGTGGTGGTATATTATTTAAATATTATATAAAGAAGAGAAAAAAAAAAGAAGAAAAATTAAGAGAGAGTGCAAGTTGGAAGAAGAAAGAAAAGAGAAGAAATTAAAAGATGTGGCAGTGAGCGAGAAGGCGACAATGAGACAGCTAGTGGTCTCTACAGTCCCACCCACGGAGTTATTTCGTGGTCCTTATCTGACAACCGCTCAATCTAAATCGTACGGCCACGAAACCTCCACCGCGTCACCCTCATTTTCTCTGTCTCACCCCTCCACACGTGCGCCCGCTCGTGTGCCATTAATTATTTGCATTTCGATATAAATAATATATATCATATATATATCCCCTCGGCCCTCCCCATATACCTCATCTTGAAAACGACTTTTCAACAAAAGTCAAATCAAACTATCAAAATTAAAATAAATAGTAAATATAGTCGAGTTTAGTTTAGTTTACCATCGTTTGGGCTAGAGCCACCGGGCTGTCACTCAGAAATTTGACGGCCAGCGTCATCGCCATCGGCACCGTCTCCTCCCCCGGGATCATCAGCTCTATGACGTGGCTGCTGATGAAATCCAACGGCAGTCCTTGGCTCCCCTCGTGGTCCTCCAACAGCACCTCCACCGCGTCCTTCGCCGGAGCCGCCTTCTCCGCCATCGCCCATTTCTTCTCTTCCACTATTTTCCTCACTATTTTCAACAGCTTCTCTCTCGCCTTTTTTACCAACAAAAACACATTTAATTAATTTTCTTTTAATTAAACTGCTAATTATATTATATGGCCAATGGCCCCACCTTCAAGGATTTATAGAGCCGAGTTCCGGGAAGCTTAAGGGGTATGCAAATCAAGCCTTTGATGAACTCTTCGAATTCCCTTTTCAAAATCTTCAAATCTTCACCCGGACCCACACTCATCAACACCTTCACCAAAACTTCGAATGTGATCTGAAAATATATATATATATATAAAAAAAACCCCATTACTTTTTTTTATTATTTTAAAATTTATGCATGACCCGTAAAAGGAAAAATAGAGAGAGAAAATGGAGACCTGTTTGGTTTGGGTTTGGACATAAACCAAGTGGGAGGGGTTCCAATTAGCGAGGCTGAGACGAACGGTGTTGTGAATGTCTTTGGTGATTCGGGATTTGAGGAGTGGGGACCTGAGGAAGGCTCCAATGATTGAATGGACTTTTCTCTGAACATTTCCATTCATTTGAAGAATTGAGAATGGACCCAGTAATTCAGTGATTGATTTTGGGTAAGCTGGGATGAATATGTTGCCATGGTTCTGTAAAACAACTTTGTTCACCTCTGAATCAGTCGACACTATGATGGGCGTTCCCAATATGTTTGTTTTAAACACCTCCCCATACCTGCAAATTACCAAACCCAAAACTAAAAATTCAGCCTTTTTGCATTTTCTTTTCATTTATGGAAAGGGAATGGTCATTTCATTTCGATTTCATTGGGGGGGCATTGGGAAGCCTGAAGCCGAGACTGTGGTTACCGTCTTTACAAGCAACGGAACCCATTTGCAGTGTCTAAGGTCTAGTTTTTTACTGCAGCCAAGTCAGAAAGTCTGCACCTTTTTTGTTTTCTCAAGTACTTTTTTGGATCAAAGTTGCAACCAAAGATTACCCAGATGGAAATTGCTTCAAAAAATGGTTTTTTGGAGCCTTTAAATTCTGACCCTTTTGAGGATTCTGGCTGATACATATGATGATCTCATTACAGCAAAGAGAGGAGAAGAACAAGCAATGTTTTTTATATTTCTCTCCTTGCATGTGGGTTTTCTGAACTCTAAAATTATACATCATCCTGATCATCACAATCCAAAAGAAATAAAAAGAAAAAACCAATCCAACTAATTGCTAGCTCGGCTTAATCATAACATCATCGATAAAAAAAAAAAAAAAGAGAAAAGAAACATAATCACCACAACTTTAATAATGGTGAAATTGTTAGGTAAAAGTAGACATATCAATAATTAAGTAACACGTACAGCTAATGAATCATAGTGGTACTCATCATTTTTGATGCTGGGGTTGAGTACTTTGATGTAATGCAACAATAAAAAGAGAAAATGAACTCACCAACTATTTATGGTAAAAAAAGAAGTAACAAAAAAAGGAGATATATATTTTTCTTGGAGCTAGGAGAGAAGTGATCAATCAGACGAAGTGGGTCTAGAAGCTGATAGCATTTAGAAAAGAAAAAAAGAAAAAGGAAAAAAACTTACAGAGATTTGCGTTTGTCCATGAAGGTGACAGGACGAGAAGAGTAGCCAGAAGCAATGAATTGGAGAGTTTCTCCAATGAAAGGCCAACCCAGGTTCCCTTTTGGAATTCTCCCATCCTTGTTATCAATATTCCTCATCTTGTTCATCCAAAACCAGCTCCCTAAAACAGCACTCAAAAAGCAAACCCAAAACCCCAAAACCCAATCCTCCTCCATTTGTATAGAAAAGAAAAGTAAAGGGTATGGGTGAGTTTGAGTTCATGCAGGCAAGCCAAGGGAGAGAGGGGAGTTTTATAGATTGTCCTTTGTGGGAAATGAAGAGTGTGAGATTTGGGAAGATCTAGGGCTTATAAATGAGGGGGTGAAGGTGTGAAGTGTGAAGGGAGAGGCCATATTGCCACGCTTTGTGTTGGTGTTTTTTTGTCTTGATTCCATTAGGTAGATGTTACCCGGATTTCTGTATTCTAATCCTATTTACCCCACCAAACTTGTCCCTCCAAATATGCTCAAATTTTGTACCTTTTCCACTTCCACCCATTAATGCCCTTTCTCAAACTCCCCAAACCCAACCCCCCCTCACTTCACAACCCACCCCAATTTGGTATTTTTCTCATACCCATTTTCAATCAATCCGCGCTTTTCTTTTTCTTTTCCTTTCTTTAATTATAATATTAATAAAAAAAATAATATACTGTTCATCTAGAAGTAGGGATGTTTTGACCATAAAATTATGTTCGGGTCGGTGATCGATCTGAGTGTTTTACTTGCCACCTCACTCTACCCTTTTTCTTACTTTTTTTAACTTTTTAACTTTCTCTAGATTAGCATACATGATTTTAACTCAACCGTTTTTGACCAAGAAGTTATCGATTCAAGTCTCTCCACTCTCATTTTTTGGAGTTATACAAAATATATATATATATTCTTGACTAAACTTATATTCTTTATTTTATTTATTTATTTATTATTAACCCATGTGATGGGTAGACTTTTAAAAAGGTTGCTAAAGTCTTAAATAATAAGGATGAAGTCATAAATTTTCATTGGAGGACAAAATAGAAATAAAATTTACAATTTTAATTTTTTAATACAACCTTTTTAGTAAGACAAACTAGCTAGTCCGCATATTAATTAGGAAAATAAAAAATCCATGATATATAAACAAGAAACAATATCTCTCATAATATATTTTATGTAAAAATGAAAGCAAAATGACTAGAGTTGCCAAATAAAAAACAATATATTCAAACTTCCAACTTAAAAAACGCAAGTAATATCTCAATTCGTCGAGCTATATTCATGCCGAGTCGACGTTTTTGGTTTCTTGCTACTAATACTTGGACTCTATGGTTATGTTTTATATAGCATCAAATCTACAATTTCCTTCGCGAGATAGCCTGCAATTAATTATGCCAGCGAGATAGCTTGCAATTAATTATGCCATTCTCAAACTCACACGATTCAATGACCATATCTGAACTCTACTTATTATCTTCCCTCGAGTACAAATAGTCAACCCTGTAGAGATTGGCCAAAAACTTGCAACCTCTCGCTTTTTGTATGGAAAGTTTTTCAAAATCTGTTTGCCCGTAATAATAGTTGGTTCGATATGCAAATTTTAAATTCTCTCTCTCTACATCGTGGAACAAAAGAGATTTTAATTTCTGCTTCAGCCGACCCTATTTTTGATGTATTCATGGTGTTGGGCAACTAAAGTATGAAAAGAATGGAACAAAACGAGGAAAAGAGACAAGAAAGAAAGAGAGGGTTGGGTTGTTGAGTTGTGGGGGAAAAAAAAGAAAGAAAAAAGAAAGAAAAAGAAACTGTTTGAACAGATAAAGTTATAGTGGGGGGTTGAAAAAGAAGAAGAAGAAGAAGAAGAAGAAGAAGAAGAAGAAGATCACATGGGTCGGGCCACAATGGGTCTCTGTAGTTCACCATTTGTAGATTGAAGCAATGGCCCACCTTAGAAATGGCATGTGCAGAAACTGAGCACGTGAAGGAAGCCCACTGGGCCGATGGAGGGGCGGGCGCCGGAGATGTCAGCCCCTCGCCGTCTCCCCATTTTCCTCTCTTTTCTTTTCACCACTTCCTATAATTCGCCTTGTCCTGTCCTCATCATGCTTCAGTACTTTGAACACTGTTCCGCAGTCTTCAATCTCTTCTTTCTCTGCGACTCGAAGTGAGTGATCCTGATCCTCCATCTACGCTGTGGACCCCTATACACTATACAGTTTGACGTTCGCCATCATGATCCACGTCTCCATTGAGGCATTTAAGCAAACACTTGGTGAGTCATCTACGAATCTTACTACTTCCTTACTACAACACTATTTTCAGCCTTTTTTTTTAGTACAAGTCTAAACTAAAATGAGATTTTGAGAATTTCGAAAATAAATTTATCTTTACCGCCAAATTATGCAACACTGATTGGAGTGACAAGAGGATCAATCGCCCTGATCTACAGGTTTGAAAATTGCAGATAGCACTCTTTATGTTGTTAGTGAGTGTATAATTTATTGTTAATGGTTAGTTATCGGCAGTGGATTTTAAAGTATTGTGTTTCAATCATAAGACAATGCTATTTGGTGTATGAGATTGATTGCAATATGATATTTTAAATGTAAGTTTTAGTTAGAGGCTGTAATCATGATAGCTAACAGAACCTTCTACAAAAATGTGTCCATAATTTCTCTTTCTTATGCTTACAGACATTGGTTTGGCTTTAGAGAGAGAGCTGTACGATTGGAACTTATAATATCAAAAAGTCAACATAATTATAGTACTAACATGGACAACTGCAGCTGTATGAAATTCTAAATGACACTCCAAAAAGGTATTGGGCCATCCACTCTTTTCTCTACTCACTTTTAAATTAGCAAAATGACACTATCATATAAATATCAACGTAGAATCCAATGTTCACATGCAGTTGAAGCTCAAAAGGACCCATTTCTTATTGTGGAATAGACATTTCATTGGATTCCTTTTTATGGAAAGAACTTCTCTTTGATTTTCCTTCAATCAAGTGGTAGAAAACAGGGGACGACAAAGAGAAAGAGATCAGAAAAGGTGTAAAGATAATTTTGACAATAATTTTTTCTCAAGTTAGATTGGCAAAATGGAAACAGATTAGCAGTTAGAAGTTTGTATTTGGATAGAAATGTGAAATTCTTCCTAGCTTCTGGTCATCCAGGTTTTTTCAGATTGAATCAGAAAACAGACGAGTTATACTCAACACTTGCTTAAGCATGTCATCTTTCACAATGGCTTCCCATAAAATATAAAGAATGACCAAAGTAAGCAGATGGGATAAGAGTGACCACTGTGGCTGAAGCTTTTCGGAAATATGGGCTCATCGACCATTTTGGGGAGAAACAGGCCTAAAGAACTATGCCGTATTTGTAATTCTACAGTGTTCTGAAATTAGGCATGGTGGTGGGAATATAGATTGGGGAGCAGTTAGTAGGTGGCATATGAGCTTGTTCAAGGGCCTTGTGGCTTTAGCTGTTCCTTGCTTTCCAAGATCTCCACAAACTAAATCTGTTAGAATTTATCAGAAGGTTAATTTGAGATGGGTCAAATGTGGTCCAGTTTCTGGTCAGCACAAGAATTTCCTCTTTGTTTTTCAACAGGAATGAAGACTGAACTCCTTTGTACTTGTTTGTGGTGAAGGGACCAAGAAGAGCAGAGAGCATTTTCAAAGTATGATTACATGATGGTGGTGGAGAAAGAATCCATCTCAGCTCCTGCTGATATGGGGATATCATTGATTACCTTACCTAGGGATGCCAATGGAGCTGGCCCCCATGGATAACCGAAGAGGAGTTCCAAGTGTATGCTGATGACTTCGAAAATCTGGCTTCACCGGTCCTTTAAACTACTTTCGTGCTATGGACATGTAAGTAAGCAGTAATGATCATGGACTCACATTTCTACTTTCCTGGTTATTTTCCAACAGAGTACAAAGGGATAACAATGTGAACTAGATTTTTTTTTCTTTTATTTTTTAATTGCTTTGAAAAATGAAGCCTGCTCACTTTACTAAGGTAACAAAATGGGTGGCACCATGGCAGGGATAAAAAAATTTTAGTCCCAACAAAAATTTTAGAAGGTGATAAAGATATTGGACACTATCAGCGGGAACCAAAGAATATGAGCAAGGAGATGTATTCAGGAGCCTCGTACCCGACCTTGAAGTTGTTATATTGGACGGCCACCCACCATTTCATCCAACAGGAGAGAGCTCAGCAAGTCTCGGAGGAAATGATCTCTTCCATCCGTAAACTTTCTCCTCAATAAATGACTTGACTTAGTCTAAATAGGCTCTGTGCTTTACCACCTGTAATTCCAAAAAGCAGAGAGATTTTCATTCTTAATAGAGTAAGTGATCAATTTGAATAATGAATTGTTAGAATATAAAACATTCCAATACAAGGAGATATTTCAGGAATTCAAATACCAGCTTCTGTATTGAGGAATTAGCAGCATAGTTAGAACAATTAATTTTATTCCCTATGTCTTGTCCGTTTGAGCAAGTTCAAGACATTTTCGTACACAATAAACGTGATCGAAGCAGCAGGAACATTCTTTAGAAGGTTTGGGGTGATTCCCCTGTAAAACCCACGAATGCCCTCAAACCTGCAGGGTACATAAACAAGTTTCCTTCATGCCATAAGATTATGAAGCGAGAGCTGACAAAACTCAAAACTTCACTTCACAGTGTTCCTTGGCTAATTTTCAAGGCATTGAGCAATAGCAGAATTCACAGATAGGAGCACATTTATTCTCCTGGTAGGAAAATATTATTGGACGGGTAGTTCTTACCGTGCAGTTTCCTTAAGAACATGGAAGCTATCCATGTATATCGGTATCCCATCATTGCCTGGTCGTTGCTGCAAGCAGACATGTATTTAATGCTAAGATTTAAAAATTAGAAGATAGAACTTGAAAGATTATGTCTATTGGAATACCTGCAATCGAGCTCGTATAACCTGAAATCCAAGTCATTCAAGAATCAGCTAAGATATATGACTATTTAATAATTAAAAAAAAAAAAAACTACACCATAGTTCACACCATCAAGACAAATTTATATTTACTTGAAATGGGTATGTCAGAAGCATGGCAGCAATTTTAGAAGATCCTCCAAGAACAGCATAATCAACTGAGTTCTGCAGGAGAAAGACAATTCACAGTAAGAGTTTCCATTCCATGTGGTGAGGCCTAAAACTAAGTACTAATGGAGTAGATTCTCACATCTAGATTTTACTAAAAAAGAAAAGAAAAGAAGGCGCTGGTTCTTTATAACTTATGATGTTGCTTATTGTAATTACTGCAACATCTTATATATACCTAAACTAAGGTGAATGGGAGCGGTAAAGATATATCTTTGTATATAGCATTGCTATTTGCTGTTGATGGAGAAAAATGATTAGTTTTTTATGGAGGAAAAGCATTTGAAAAGGTTATGCTGCTAGATCGAATAAATATTTTCCACTTCTCCCAGTACACACCATAATGATGTTATGTAACCTCAAGCCAAAAACTTGTACCAGTAATTCCCCAGAACTTTGAGCATCCACTTTGGTCTCTCTAGACTTTGAATTGGCGATAAATTTACGAAATTCTTCATAAACCGTAAATTGGATGGCACCATGAGAAACCTGCTGAGCAACCAAACACATCTAAGAATTCACCCCATCAAATCATGCCCATGTTTGATTAGGGGGGAAGGGGGGAAAATAGTACAATGGATAATGAGGCATGAAAAGTTGAAAATTAATTAATATCATGAGATTCATAATGTGCAAAAGCAAAATAATCAAATTGTCAAAGGTAATATCAGCTATAATGGCAACAGCTTACAAGCATAAGGCCAGGAACAATCCCTTTGTAAAGAGCTGCAATACCTTCCTCTCTCAAGATGGTTTTGAAGGCATCTGAAATCGCACATGATAGATTTAGCACATAATCAAGTGAATGAGAAGTAATAGAGAAAATAAATGAGAAATCTAAGAGAGGAAAAACTACTGTTGCTGTTGATGTAATAAGAACGTAGATATAAAATTCAGCTTCATAGTCTTTATTTTATTATTATTCCAAGAACAGGAGTGTAATAACATGAAGTTCAAAGCCAATGACTATTCGAGATTAAAAAATAACCATGCCCCCTCAGAAAAGATACCACATGCTACAATCTTTCTCTCAGTGCATTCGCCACAAGTGTAGGGGTGGAGATCATTTCACCTTTCCTATCACTGTCCCTTTTTGGTAACTATTTGAAAGGCTCATCAGTAATACTTTCAACTTCCAATGGTATGCCTCATCTAGGATGAGCATACCTCGTTCCAACTAGTTAAGAGTTCAAGTTTCAAAAGAAAAGGCTAAAATTTTGGGACTTAATTGTTTGTTACCGGCTTTTGGCAAACTTGGCGTGTATGAATAATAGGATTTTAGCACATGTTTGAAGAGATGTGCAGGAAATCAACAAATATAGTCTTCCTAGTCACTAGATGAAGTACTCTTGTTGAGGATCTTTTCGATTATTCATCCTTTCCGATTGAGGATTTTGTTGTAATATCCTTCGGGTTATGAGTGGGTTTGGACTTCTTGTTGCTTCCCCCTTTTTTGTTCTCATCTCTTTTCAATTAATTGTTTCTTCTTCATCTTTCAGAAAAGATTATATTCCATGACAAGTCTAAAAATCAAGGTAAACTTTATATTATAAAACAACAGCATCACAATTCCCAAAGTAAACATCGTTATCATCATCATAAGCCTTATCATGACACGTAGAAAGATAGCGAGAGCGAGAGAGAATGAGAAAATAATGAAGGTTAGTAACTAAGTTAATTAAAATCGTAAGATCTTATAACTTACTAGGATAAGGTATATCCCAGAGAGCAGATTATTATTAATTGAGTGCAAGATAGAGGGCAGACCATATAGCCCAGAATATGGTTGAGCTTGATGAAGGGGATTCTGAAGCTGAATTCTTGTTTTCACAAGCCAAACTGGATTTGTGCAAAAACAAACCTGATGAGGCAGTAGAACCATGATTGTGAAGATAATAAAACTAAAAAAATATAAAACAATGAAGAGAGAAACATTCTTCTAGTAAGTTAAATAGTGCAATAAGGGAATTGTTGAACGTTGACAAGCATAAAATATCCAAGGACATGTAGTAGGACTTCATATGCTCGATGAAAAAAAATGTCAATGAGCGAACACAAAAAAAATACACTCAAACTCACCAAAGCTCCTGCTTCTGCTGCAGAAGCAAGATGAAGACTAGGACTCAAGTTCTTTCTTCCATTGTCAGAATATCTTTCCTTGGCTCTGCCATAGCTACAATAAAATGGGGGAGAACATTTAATGGAGTTCCAAAGCCTAGAAGAAATGTTCAGCCAGCAAAGCAAAGAATACTAAATTAATCGATCACTTGGACAAATTTCAGTTCTTTACTTGTATTATAAATCACGAGTAAGATAACTAGTTAAGTGTATCAGAAATTCATTACAAGAGTTGTTAATTAATAAAAGTTAACCTCCCATCAGAAATGTAAATACTATTTACTTAATTTTAAAAAACTAAATAAAAACAATTCTTCCTAAGAAACAAGGCTGTGTGTTTCAACATGTGAATTATGCAGACTCAATATTCTCAAGTCAAATTTGGAAGGGTCAAAAGCAACTGATGATTAATTGATGTGGGCAGACTAAAAAGCACAAAAATGAACACAATAATATGCCATTTTCTAAAGGTATGGATAAGATATAGAAACATATAAGAATGCTTAAATATATTTGTATAATTTAACCTATTTACATGCTTAAAGTTTGATTTTATATTAGATAATTGCATTTAGAATCCAATAGGGAAGAAGAGTTATAAAAGCTAATTGCATTTCTGCAACAGGAAAACAATTCTATATTTTCATGAAGCAACATCTTAAAAGTTGTCATTCAAAAGAGAAACCTATAACCAAAGAGACTAAATTTTGAATCATTCAATGTCTTATGAGAAAAGAGAATTCAAAGTGAAAATTTTCCAAAAAAACTTATAAGCTTTGCATCATGAGCCCAATGCCTCTCGTTCAAATTTCAATTCTTCCTCTAATATTTTTGTTGTGCTAACATGACCAAACATTTTACACTGCTGACATTTAGAAGAGAATAACAGAAGATATCATACTATAAAAGGGTGAATAGATGTTAAGTGTCGAGTGTCAGGATGTTCAATTTGTGTTTTATGCTTCTTTGTAAAACGGAAAAAGCTGTACAACTTATTTACTTACAAGAAGAAATATAAACCCCAAGAAACACTTGACCCTAAAACTGCAGGACAGAAGCCTGCATATAGCCCCCTAAAGCCCTGCAATAAAGAAAGCATCCAATCAAAATGGGAGTGGAGGGAAATCAACCACTATACTATGCAATAAAAATTTGAGACAAAACAAGTCCACAAGGAACATTTAAGTAACTTGAAAGTTCAAAATTCCGAAGTGATCATTCATTCAGAAGGAGAGTACTAACCACTACTCAATTTTCCCGTGGCAATCAACACATCATAAGGACAATGGGGAGCTAAAAATCAACTTGTGCCTAACTAATAGCATATTGCCTCTCTGTTTCATCAGTTAATAATAGGGACAAGATACAAGTGATCTCTCGTGCAGGGCTACCAACAGTTATATTTATTAAAATTAGATGCAACCACCTTTGTTTAGGATGATTTCCTAAAGCAGTTCATCGCAGGGCTCTTTATTAGATGTATGATATGCAGGAAGTGCAAATTCCTTAGTTTTTTTAAAAAGGGAAAATGTTACTGCATTTTAATGCATCATTTTAGTACAACAAAAAGAAATATGCATCTTTACATCCTTGGGCCTCAATGATAATTTTTCATGCCCCCCACGCAAGAGGTAAAATAAAATAACCATCTTGGCATTCTTAAAGCACTTGCTACAAAATTATATTTCCAAAGTAATGTATGCAAATCGGTCTGAGATTCAGAATTAGAATTGGGTCTATGCGAGGAGGATTTCTTCCAGAAAGGGTAAGTGGCGAGCATTATTCGAACAAATTTCATCTAAAAGCCAATGAATGGACTATATTGATTTAGTTCTTCAGTTAAATAAATCGTGAAGTTAGTGTAAGTGCCATGAAATAAAAGGAATTAGGAGTTGCAAACACCAAATCTACGAACCTCCATCCGAGCAATAGTAAAGATTGCATTGACAGTGTTCTTGTAAGTCGGGAGATTCGATCCTCTGCCATCATAAACTGCCATTCCGGAGACAAGTCGAGAAAAAAATTAATGTTCGAAGGAAGTAAAACTGTAAATTCCAGATCTTTTGTTGACGCGCGCAAGCTAACTTTGAGTACCCACATAAGTATGCTTACCTTGAAAGCGGGTGCGGACGACATCCAGAGGATGCACGGCGGCGACGGTGGCAAATCCGGCGACGGCGCCTGCTGTGGCATTCTCCCACTGCCACATATCCGACTGCGGCTTCGATTATAAACCCCGAAACCTTTTTCTTGTTTCTTTTCAGTTCATCGACATGGAGAAAAAACCTGACGTCGTGACTCAGTAGAATAAAATTTCGGCGGGACAAGTTTATACAACGGTACCCGAGTCCAGAATCATGACCCAGCGAGTTACGCTCACGAGTTTGCAGTTCGCAAAACCAAACCCCGAGTTTTCCGATAAGTAATATTCGTAATTCAGTCGAAGACCGACGTAGAATGAAAATCTGGAAATGGAGAAGGAAAGAAAATTGGGAAAACGTATATCGAAATTTCTTTGATAAATTGATACTCCTCAAATAAACCTCCGTATATTTTCTTGATAATAGTTCTAAAAAACTTTCAAAACAATCTCATTTGTAATTAAGATTCCGAGCTAAATTGAACTGTTTATAAAATCTCATTCCCCTCTCAAGTAATTTTAGAAAGCTCAAGAAATCTTGTTTTTTTCCCCTTAATTTCCTTTGTGGTGTTTAGCAAAAGTGTGTGGAATGAAACAGGATAATTACTTTCCAACTTTTACCATGAATTTTTCTAATTAGTTGTTATATTTACTTATATTATTTCTTTTTCATCTATATTACTAATAATTGTTCTTCATAAAAATTTGTACCATTTTTATGAGTTGATATGATTTTATTATAAAATATTATGAATTTATATTTAATTTCTTTTAGTTTACTTTGTTATTAGTAATTAGTAATAGTATCAATAGAATTTATTATTATTAAATATTAGTGTCAATAATATTTTATTTTAATTGTTCATTATTTATTAATACTAAATAAATTATTATAATAAAAAATATTTACTATATTAAATAGAGTAATAAAATAAATTAAAACATATTATTATTGTAATTAAAAGAAATATTAGCCTAATAATGCATTTTTAATTAGCTAGAGAGAAGAAAGGAATATGCCAGTAATAATTATATATCTGATTTTGATTCCGATTTCAAACAATTTTAATAAACAACATTAAATATATTATAAGTCTGATTCCACCAAATTTTTGGTAAACAAAATCAAGAGAATAAGCACTTTCATTCTTGTTCTTCTCAATTCCTCCAAGTTCTTCTACCAGCCCAGAAAAATAGGAGGTCTACATGAGAAAGTTTCTCCAAGCTTAATCACATTCTATCACACGACTATATTTAAGTTATTGTTTTATTAAATGAATCTTCTGAACCTGAGCTGACAAAAATGTCGACAATTTCCCGAGCCAATTGGTCGAACCAGAGACTTTAGCCATGTAGTACATTCAACATTGGCTTCCATTACCCACGTTTGAGTTTACAAAGTTGCATTGAGAGAGGAAAATAAAGCTGATGAATTGTTCTTCCACTGTCTTCCAATATGAATCAAGAACCAATTCCTAAAAGGACTCATTGACCATTGTTGAGAACTCTCTTCTTCAATGGGTGGTGATTTTAGTTATTTGGAATCTATGAATACAAAAGGCAAGTTTTACCAAGAAATATCTATCCACCAATACAATTCCATGACGAGGCAAAAATATGGAAAGTTCTCCTAAAGAATGCTCCATATATTTTCAAGGAAACCAGACAATCCCATGTCCTCATCATCTGTCAAAGTTAATTTCCAGACACGTTGTTGTATCTTCAACTACTGCTCTGACTGAAAATAAAGCTTTGAATTTTCTGCAGCATCCCTGTGGGCAAAAAAAAAAAAAAAAACGAAATTTACAAAAATGGAAATGCTAAGTGGTTGATACAATGATGTTACCCAATGTTATTGAATTGAATTATTGCAAATTTGCAGTCTCATATTACTGAGGATGGCCTCAAGCTAAATGTCATATTTTTCAAAAAAATCAGGCCACTTGCACTCTTATAGTGGAAAATGTGTTGAATGAATCACATATGCTATTCAAAAAAATCAGAGAAGTGCTAAAATCAAAATAAATAGAGCATACAGAGTACGGATAGACCCTGCACCTTAATAAGTGTAATATGCCGCATGCTCAGTAATAAATACGACTAGTTGGCATTCAGCACTTTAGAGTCTCAAGGTTATCTCTATAAGTCAATTGTCTCCCAACACCTCTAAAAGCCCTCGTAATATTTAACGAAACTACGAAGGGAAAAAAATTTGAACACGACATTGCCAAATGCTACTATGATGTTAAATTGTTAGGTTGCCATTAACTGTACTAATATTTTGGAATATAAACTTAAGGAATAGCTTGATGACCTGACCCCCAGCAAAACAATGATCGTCCAAATATGAGGTAACTAGAACTAGAAGATGAATACATGGAACCTGTACAAGTTTAATCATCCCAACCAACATTTGTTCCGCTTCCAAAAATTTAAAGAGCTTCTAACTGCACCATATTAGCATAAGCCATAAAGCTTTATAAGAAGATGAATTGAACAACCAACAGCATATTGAGATTTCAACAAACAGCAGCATTTTAAAGTCCATCATCTGCTATTTGTTATCAACTCCAAGAAACGGAAAACAGGCACATACTCAGGCGATTGGGTAGCTCCAGGCTAGGTTACACTTGCAGTCTTACGTAACTCCACACTCGTATCTCAAAGTCTTAAAATTTCTCCACGTTAGGGAGCTAAAAGTATATCACCTTTGTCAGAAAGAGCTATAGAACCCATTTTACAAATTACCTTTTATTTGGTGCCATTGGCAACCTAAAGTATAATAACAACTGTATACTTCAATAATTTTTTTTTTTTAATAATTGGAAGTTGGAGCTTTACTCCCCTATATCCAAGGGCCCTCGTGCCCGTCCTAAGGGTGTACTTCAATAATTAATAAAATCTGTTTCTTATCCAAAAGAAAGAGCACTCACTTGAGCCATTTAGTAGCTCCAGGCTAGTTCAGGCAACCGCAACTGCATACTTTTGTGTCTCAAATTCCAATTCAATCAAGGACCTCTCTCAAGTTAGGAGTGCTGGAGATATAGTATATCACATTTTGTAGAACTCAATATCATACTTGCAATACTCAAGACAAGTTTAGGTCCTCGGGGGGTTGTGAATATGTGATCAAGTTCTGCTAAACAATTAGGAACTTGGATCAAAGAACATCAAGATTCGTAACCATGAGTCCATAACCCTGACTATAACCCCAAAATAAATCCAGTTGCTGGGAGAAACTAGTGTTGAAGTTTTGATAGATGCGCATGTATTAAGATAGGTTAAAATAGTCTGTAAACTTGACATACAGATAAAAAATGTAAGTCGTTCTAAAATTCTCTAAAAAGGGTAGATTACAGTACCTCACTCCATTGACACTTTGGCGCCAACCTCCTTCATCTTGGCAATAATGGTATCAGCTTCCTCTTTTGTGACTCCCTTCTTCAGAAGGGTTGGTGCCTTCTCCACCAAATCCTTAGCCTCCTTCAACCCCAAATTCGTAAAAGTTCGCACTTCCTTGATGACCTTGATCTTCGAGGCAGCATCAAAAGCTTCAAGCTTCACATCAAACGCCGTCTTCTCAGCCTTTTTCTCCTCGCCACCTTTTGCCCCAGGACCACCCTTGCCTGCGCCTTGCAAGCCGCCGAACCCCATCCCAGGCATCATCACTGCCATTACCGGCATATCTTTCACATCCAATTTTT